AAACTTCATATTGTTCTGTTTATATTTGAGACGAGATAATATCCGGTGAGTGTTGAGCGGCATAACGAAGCCCAAAGTGTCCTTCACCGGTGAGTGTTGAGCGGCATAACGAAGCCCAAAGTGTCCTTCACCCCTTGAGTATGATGACCTAACCCCTTGAGTATGATGACCGAACCCCTTGAGTATGATGACCTAACCCCTTGAGTATGATGACCGAACCCCTTGAGTATGATGACCTAACCCCTTGAGTATGATGACCTAACCCCTTGAGTATGATGACCTAACCCCTGACTACGATGACTTAAGCCCCTAAATACAACGTTACCTTATTCAAGGAGCTAATAAGATCTGGTCATCAAGGTACCATTGGCTACACATGATGCTGGAGGAGACGGTCAGCCACCAACAACAGTATAAACCACCCCGGGTCTCTGGTTAACAATATTAAATCAGCGATTGTTAAGAGTGAATAAGGAGAGTGTAAGAGTGACGGCCACATTAGTCTTGCCGCCCCCCTCCTCAGCCTGGGTACATGCTGGGGTCGCCGCCCCCACCCATCTTCTTGCCCCGCCCACGATATTGCTCATTACAAGTGGAGGGTGTGGAGAAGGTGCTTGTAGCGCTGTGCATAACAACGTTCATTAATACAGAACATATACAGGCTCGACACATTGTGGATGAGGGAGGCTGGACGTTATGTATTATATAGTCAGTAACTTATAGGAGGTAACTGATGTACAGGTAATACTAACATAATGTGATGTTATACCTGGTCATGAACACCATACTAATGAGGGCAGTCTCGTGGAGGAATCCCAAGTGAGGCTTCAGCTAATGTATCTCAAAATATATCATCCAATTTCCAAGTCCACGTTGTGACCCGAGGAGCAACCGCTGTAACTCTGGCTGCCGACTCGACAAGTTACTCCTCAGCGTGATTACATATGGTGTTATAATTGTGGCCAACGCCCAACGTTCCCTTAAGCAGCCGACCCCGCGTGTCTCCTGCCTCGTACAACTTACACAGTCGTCGCTGGAGCGAGGGAATGAGGGAAGAAAGAAAGGAGGGAGGGAAGAGGGGAAGAAAGCAAGGAGGGAGGGAAGAGGGGAAGAAAGCAAGGAAGGAGGGAAGAAGAGAAGATAGAAAGGAGGGAGAGAAGAAGAAAAGATAGAAGGAATGAAGGGAGGGGAGGAAAGAAAGGAGGGAGAGAAGGATAAGAAAAGTATCTAACTAACTCAAGATATGACACCAGTACAGTAGCCAAAATTACACACAGTCAATACAGTAAAACGATACCTTCATCTACCCCCAATTAGGACACCAAATTATCCCCCCAAAAGACAAAAATATTCCAATGATTCTGCAATGTAATATTTTTTTTTTATGTTATATGATATTATGGACGTTGGATCTCAAGTTGTAATTCTGATGTAATATTTAGATGTTATTCATGTTATTTAATATTCAACCAATGGGGTGAATTCTGATGTGTTTATATACCTGGATTATTCATTTCTTGTTCGCACTACATCAAGAGTTCTGACTTGTGTACTTACGGAGATTATTCATTATTCTAACCTTTGAGAACTATGACATGTTTATTCACCTGGAGTATTCATTTATTCGTTGTACTTTAACCTTCAAGTGTTCTGGCCGTGGACTCGCTCACACCACCTTTATATTTTTCCGCCGTAACTAAATGAACATGATTAACCCGGATGGTCTGGTGGCGTAGCTGAGCCTCGGATACCCTGTAAAATAATAATCATGAACACCTGTCAGCATCACGCACTTGCACACCTTGACACACACACACACACACACACACATGTATAAATATACACATAAACGCATATACAAACAAAAAACACACACACACACACACACACACACACACACACACACACACACACACACCTAGACACACACACACACACACCAATATATGTTTTTCTCTCAATGATAAGACAAATAAAAAACAACACCATACCCCATAACTAAACAATATTTATCTATCTATCTATCTATCTATCTATCTATCTATCTTCCTCTCGAGATGGGGGGAACAAATTATCCAGTTATACTTGTTTGGGAGACGCTTCTGTCGTCACTGTACTGTTAGTTTGTTTTGTGTTCCTGGATTTATCTGAATTAAGGTTTGTTCATCGTGAATACTGAAGAGGAGTGTTGGGTGGGTTTCTGTAAGGTGTGTGAGGGTAAGGGGGTAAGGGGGCAAGGGGGCGAGGGTAAGTGGGTAAGGGTGAGGAGTGCGGTGGGATGGGGGAGTAGGGGAGTACAGTGGGATGAGGGGTGAGGGTGAGGTAAGGGTGACGGTAAGGGTGATAATCTTGAAGTAAGAGTGAATAATGTGGGTTGAAAAAAATCTGTAAGCTGACAATGAGTGCGTGGATGGAAGGGGAGTGAGTGAGTGAGTGAGTGTATATGTATTTGGAGGTGGACTACTCCCTGCCGCTACAAGATGACGTCAGTGATAGCGGCCACATCGTTAATCAAGACTTACATTAATCTTACCAAGGTGGGCCCAGTTTACTGCAATCACCCCCCCCTACCACCCTCTGGCCCTCCCCACCCCTCTCTCAGGCCCCTCCCAACCCCTCTTTCTGACTCCTCCCCACCTCCCTCACCTGTTCTTGTCCCCTCCCCACCTTACTATAACCTCCCTCCCTCTGCCTCCATTCTTCTCCTTCCCCCTCTACCCCTCCATTCTTCTGTCCCTCCCCACCTTCCTGCTCCTCCCCCACCTCCCCTCTACCCCTCATTCTTCTCCTACCCCCTCCTTCCTCCCCACCTCCCTGTAGCTTCCTCTCTCACGCCCCAACAAGGCAGGAAGCGAGGGCAGACTGAGAGTAAGTGGAGTGAGCAGACTGAGAGCAAGTAGAGTGGGGCATGAAACAGGGCCAACAGTCTGAGACAAGCACAGCAGGGAAGGCAGAAGACTGCTGTGAAAAAGACTGCTGCCCTCTGTGTGATGGCGACTCAGTACACAGACCAGATGGCACAAAAGATGAAAAATCCCTACAAGACAACCTTCCCCTATTGGTTGTGCTGGGTTATAATAGGTTGTACTGTGCTAGTTGCAGCTCGCTTAGGTTAGGTTAAATATTAAATGTTAAGATAGGATAGGTTACATTAGAAGAGGTTAGTTTGGTTAGGTCAAGTTAGGTTAAATGTTAAGATGGTTTAGTTTTGATCAAGTGCTTAAATAGGTTAGGTTAGGTTAGGTTATGTGCAAAGATAGGTAAACTGAGTTAGGTTAGGTTTTCTAGGTTAGGTTAAGTTTCAATAACCCAAGTTGAAGAAAACAGCAAAGGATAAATTGTTAAACATCTGACTTTGAGGAAATATCAATATATGTTCACCACTACCCACGTTTCACTTACTCTTTAACACATTCATAGTCTGACTCCTGACCTCTGACCTTTAGTAATGTGATGACCCAAATATAAGTGACCAGTAGAACACGTAGAGACAGTAGGAAAGTGCTGCCTTAGAGCTTGACCCAATAACCATGGTAGCGTAAATTACTTGGCCATATCTTCTCAACTTTACAGGTTACGTTGTCTCAATTTACCAACAGCTGGAAAAAAAAAGATTAACATTAAATTCATTCAAACTTAGTGATCGTTGGAAGAGATGGACTTAATAACACTGAAATCTGACTTCCTAGAATGTGTTAACTGATCGTGAGAAAAGAAATGAACACCCTCGTTTATTGGGTCACTTCAAAGGCTCAAAGTCGGCACTATACTGTTCTTGCAACGTGAATGTGTAAACAAAAAAAAATTAATTGTGTCTATGAGGCGAAAAATTAGTACCATACCAATTCTGAACCTCTAAAGTGACCATCCGAAGCAAATTAGAAGAAGGAAGTTACGTTATATAAACCTGTACACTAATACTGAGGGCATTAACCTGTACACTAATACTGAGGGCATTAACCTGTACACTAATACTGAGGGCATTAACCTGTACACTAATACTGAGGGCATTAACCTGTACACTAATACTGAGGGCATTAACCTGTACACTAATACTGAGGGCATTAACCTGTACACTAATACTGAGGGTATTAACCTGTACACTAATACTGAGGGCATTAACCTGTACACTAATACTGAGGGCATTAACCTGTACACTAATACTGAGGGCATTAACCTGTACACTAATACTGAGGGCATTAACCTGTACACTAATACTGAGGGCATTAACCTGTACACACACTAATACTGAGGCATTAACCTGTACACACTAATACTGAGGGCATTAACCTGTACGCACACACTAATACTGAGGGCATTAACCTGTACACTAATACTGAGGGCATTAACCTGTACACACACACTAATACTGAGGCATTAACCTGTACACACTAATACTGAGGGGCATTAACCTGTACACTAATACTGAGGGCATTAACCTGTACACACTAATACTGAGGGCATTAACCGTACACACTAATACTGAGGGGCATTAACCTGTACACACACTAATACTGGGGGCATTAACCTGTACACTAATACTGAGGGCATTAACCACCTTTTACACTAATGTACACTAATACTGAGGGCATTAACCTGTACACTAATACTGAGGGCATTAACCTGTACACTAATACTGAGGGCATTAACCTGTACACTAATACTGAGGGCATTAACCTGTACACTAATACTGAGGGCATTAACCTGTACACTAATACTGAGGGCATTAACCTGTACACTAATACTGAGGGCATTAACCTGTACACTAATACTGAGGGCATTAACCTGTACACTAATACTGAGGGCATTAACCTGTACACTAATACTGAGGGCATTAACCTGTACACTAATACTGAGGGCATTAACCTGTACACTATCCCTTATACAACTTGTCTTATCCCTCCCCCAGCAGTGACGCCACCACCAGCATCTTCAGCAGCAGCAGCAGGGAGTTACAGTTAGCGTCACACACAAAATTTATGGCCATGTTTCTTCCCCAGGTGGGCGTGTGGGCGGCCACTAGACGGCTGGATCCGCCAGGTGAGTGTGTCAACTTTCTTCTGTCAGGGAGTTGTTGCTGGGGTCATATTAATAGGGTTTTGTTGCTGGGGTCATGTTGCTGAGGTCTTGATGTTGGGGTGTTGGTGCTGGGGTCTTGGTGCTGGGGCCTTGTTGTAGGGGTCATGTTGCTGAGGCCTTGATGTTGGGGTGTTGGTGCTGGGGTGTTGGTGCTGGGGCCTTGTTGTAAGGGTCATGTTGCTAGTATCCTGTATTGCACATTAAATGGTAACGTCTTGCTCCTTACTCGGTTCATCGTTTAAAGGGATCCTCTTATTTTTTGTTTACCTTATATGGGTGATATATGATAATGTATTTTTTATTTATCTTTTATCTGGTAACATATTTTTTTATTGGCGGGGTACGAGAATCAAGGATGTAAGCTGCAGTTTTCATAAGTACACGTGATAAGTTGCTGTGCATAGTAGACTGTTTGTTATCACTTACAGACATTAGAGCCTTGCAATATAACCCCCGTTTTATGTCTGATGGAACACTCAAAAACTACACTCACACTCCAACTGTTGTCACTCCACTCACTCCCACTCCCACTCACACATACACACGAGAGTAAAAAAAACTTCCATCACTGTTACAGCTATTATTAGAGATAAAGAAGGTACGTGTGTCTGGAGGAGCTGGGAACATTGTCTGGTCTATAGCCACACAGCACCCGCATCACCTCGACGCTTTCCCGATAATGTAGTTGGGATCACCTGAAGATTAATCCCAATCAGATTATTTCACCTTAAGAGTAACGCTAACCTAATGTACCCTAACCTAACCTAACCCCTCAGATAGCGTCAGGATGTTTTAATCATCACGTAAAAATAAGATGGGGGGGGGGCTAATCTTCAGGTAATCTTATAACTGTAAAATAAAATACATAGTAATAGTAAGAACCTTTCAGTGTTTATCAATCCTCATTTGGACGAAGACTTAAGCCCCACCCAACGATGTCTATCTTGACTGGGCGGGAAAGCTAACACACCAATCCGCTACCCTACACTCACAGCCATTCTCAGTTGATTCATACTAGTTCAAAAATATGTTTCTAGATTTTAATACCATATTACGAGACAAAGTATTATCTCTTAATAAATAATGTTACAGCCCTATTAGACGCTTATAGTGCAAAATTAAAACGGGCTCTCGTGAAGATTAGGCACCCTCGTTTATTTCACCTGATGATTAAACACCCTAACATTAACCTAAACTAGACTAACCTAGCATACTTCCCCTCCCCTAATTAGCGTTAGGGTGTTTAATCCTTCGGTGAAATAAGCTGGAGTGCTGAATGTTCACGAGATCTCAAAAAACGTAAGCTCACACACACACACACACACACCTGGTGCCAGTCCAACTTAAGTAAGCAGTTTACTCACATAAAATAACAAGAGTTAAGTGGTGAGTGGAGGTGACGGGGGGAGGATCAGGGACGCGTCGCCTGGAGGTACCTTTAGACGCCCACTGAATGTTAAGAGACTAACTCTGATAAGACCAGACACGTACTAGTGGCTGAGGCTGGCCGACACTATCATGCACTCACGGGATATTTATGTCAACGAGTGAGTGAGACAGAGAGAGAGAAGACGAAAAGGGAGAGAAGAGAAAATTAAACCAGAGTAGTGGAAGAGGAAGGAGAGAGAAGAATAGAGGAAGGAGAGAGAGAAGAGAAGAGAAATGTATAACAAATGAATCATCCTTGTTATACTATCCTGAACGTCATCAGACTTAACAATAACAACAACAACAACAACACAAAACAACCACAAACACCCTTTACCTGAAACACCACCACCACAACACACAGGGGTCAACAGGCACGAATACCTCGCCTTCAGCCCACAACTCGCGCAACAATACAACTCGATTTTAGGCCTTGTATTTTAATTATACGAGATCCGCCATTCTTGTTTACATTAAGACCGAAGTGTTACCAAGTATAGAAGTACATTTTGAAACAGCACATGTCAGTATACACAATATATTATAGTGTTTCATTTAGGTATTTCAATAGATGTGAACCAAATCAAATGTTTCAGATTAATAGCGACTTGATTTTATAGACAGATCACTTTGCGTATTAAAAGAATAAATTAATAAAATAATATAACTGGAAAAATCTCTGATCGACCTTTCGTCTTTGCTTCCCGACAGCCCAAGTGGCATTACTGTAAGTGAATGCACTCTCTTGTACTCGACGGCTCCAAGTGGGTTTCAATAATTTATGTCAATCCTTACAACTTTATTAGACGAGACAAGAAGTCGGATTACCCTGAAGGTTCTCCCCCCATAAGACGACTTTAATATCAGTAACCATCACACACACACACACACACACACACACACACACACACACACACACACACACACACACACACACACACACACACGCACACAGGATCACACACACACACACACACACACACACACACAGGGGTCACACACAGGGTCACACACACACACACACGCACACGCACGCACACGCACACACACACACACACACACATGCTGGTTCCAGTTTTAAGGTTCCATCCAGAGCCTACATGGAGGTACAATTTCTCTCTTTACTAACCTAACCTAACCAAACATGACAATCTAACTAAACCTGACAAATCCAAACGTAACGTAACACAATATCGCGCGATGTTCTGTGTCTATCTCACTCAACAACGTCCCTCTCGTTACCCTTACAATATCTACACACCTCCTCCTCCTCTCGTTAACACTGCGATATCTAAGTTGAGAACCCACTAAGACCTGAGCATAAATCCACAAGAATTCATCCGTGTCATTTGTGTAAGTTAAGACGATATATTCCGAGGTATTCATTAGACATATAAATTTGCATTCCTAAGCCATAAATTTAAGAGGACCTTCAGTTCCAAGTCTTGGCTCTCTTTCACCTCATTACTCTCACTGGTCTAAGAAGTATTATTTATCTTTAATTTACACCTTTATTTTTACGGTGGGTCATTTAAAGCTTGTGAGGTATGGTGGTGAGTGGTGGCAATGGTGTCAGTGGTGATTGTGGTGGTAGTGGTGGTGATGTTAGTGGAGGAGGTTAAAGCATTGCCAGTAGATATACTGGAGACTGTAATAGTAGTAGTAGAGGCGGTAGTACCAACAATACGGAGACTAAGTGGCAGGCAACATCGGTGGAGGCGACAACGGCGGCGGTGGTGGTGGTGGAGATAAAAAAAAGAGTGAAGGCTGCCAGGTTAATGAGATGTTGAACAGGTCGTAAAGGGAACATCACTAACACTTGACGGGGTCCCCAGCATTATCTCCTCGCTAGTCCTCTTGTTCCCTCCGTCCCGCCAACACACAATACAAGGTTCTAAATTAGACAAGACATATTGAAATCAGGAGATCTAACCTCATATAAAGAATGTCGCCTACGAGACCAGCCCAATCCTGCTGAGTTAGCTAATTAAAATCTCTGAAGGGAGGCTAATAGACCAGGAGTCATTATAGTTAAAATGTGCAGGATCGATAACAAGGCGAGCCAAGTCTGTTGCCTGGCCGGGTGTGTTGACTCACTGCAAGATCTCTCAGCTAACCTGCCACTGTCTTCACCAATGACTAATCTCTATCATGGAAACTGATTAAAAAAAATTGCAGGTGAATGTTTATGTATTATCAAAGATGCTGTAAGATTTTATCAAGTAACTTGTATTATCTGCTTGAACCTCTTGTTTGTGTGTCTGGGGTATCTTTAACTTAATTTGTATCTATGTCTTGGAGGTTAGGTTATAAGGGAAGAAACCCGTGTACAGCTGTTTTAACATGAGTACGTATCAGAGAGTGTGTGTGTGTAGGGTCACCGCACTCACACCAGACTTACAGTGACACAACATTAATCTGAGCACCCATAACTACAGAACAAGTATGGTGGTCGCGGGGTATTCATCGACGCTGTGTTCTCGTTTTGCTACACATGCATTGAGGGATGACCTTTCAGCCTCGAGTGTCTTATTACCGTAAAGAAACGAGGGTGTGTACCTGTGTATGTACCTGTGTATGTACCTGTATATATTCACACCATATATACCGTACACACACAGACATTACATATAAGCTTAGACTCACCACTACCTCTTACTTGAGTGTAAACTTAGCTACATCCTCCAACAAGAGTGAGTTAAGTCAGTGTTCTGTACAGGCAGGTGGAGGAGTGATGGCTCGCGTGGGTGGCAACCTGCTGGTGCTGGTGAGGAGGGCCCGCCGTCACAAAGTGCTTCGTCACAACCCTGCATGGTGACGCCCTAAACACACCCTTTAGCATCCCTATATCCACCACCTCCCCGACAACCCCCCCACCACCACCACCATACCCTAACAATCCCCCTCCTTCACGCCCCACCACCACCACCATACTCCAACACTCTCCTTCACGCCACACCACTACCATACTCCAACAATCCCCTCCTTCACCCCCCCACCACCACCATACTCCAACACTCCCTCCTTCACGCCCCACCACCACCATACTCCAACAATCCCCTCCTTCACCCCCACCACCATACTCAACAATCCCCCTCCTTCACCCCCACCACCACCACCACCATACTCCAATCCCCTCCTTCACCCCCACCACCACCATACTCCAACAATCCCCTCCATTTCCACCCTACTGTACACAAATGTACTTCTATAAAATGAATCATCCCCTTCCATTCCATTCCATTTTTTAACGAATTTCTCCTACGCCATTCTGTGTTGAGTAACCTTCTTGAAAACAAACAAATATTTACCTGTTGGTGAAAAATTATTACCCACTGCTTGTTATAAGAACTGTGATTGTTAAAGCAGCCTCCAAGCACAAAAGTTACCCAGGAAATCCAACTCATTTAAATTCAATGGTGTAGTGGTGTATTCAATTTAATGGTGTAGTGGTCTATTCAATTTAACGGTGTAGTGGTGTATTCGATTTAATGGTGTAGTGGTGTATTCAATTTGATGGTGTATTGGTGTAT